TTTAATTAAATTATATAATATTAAAATTATATAATAAATATAATTTTTATATATATATATATATATATATATTAATTTAATGTCATTTTTACTGTTTTCCCAGAACGGGCCGTTCCAAAACCAGAACGGCCCGTTCCAAAACCACGTATCCTTCGTTAAAACAGCTCCTGGAACGGGTCGTTCCAAGGCCGTTTCACATTCAAAAAAAAGGTTTAATTCTTAATTCTGGAACGGCCTGTTCTGTGCCCGTTTCAATTTTGAAAAAATGACTGTGGCATTAAGCAGAACGGCCCGTTCTGATTTCGAAACGGGTCGTTCCACTTTCAAAATCTGCCCAAATTTCCCTGCAAACACGAAAAAAAAAATATAAAAACAACTCAGAATTCGGTTCCCCGGGAACCGAATTCTGAGTTGAAAAAACAAAAAAAAATAATACTTTGAAGCTCAGAATTCGGTTCCCCGGGAACCGAATTTTGAGCATGCACAGTAAATGGTTCTAGTGTAGTAAATAAACCTGCACAGTTGTTAATCTTGTAATTTTTTTTTAAAAAATTAATATTTTGGTAAAAAATTCGTATCCTCACAATCTTTAGGGACAAAAGATGAAAAATAAAATTAATATTTTATAGAAATTGTAAAATGTCGTAGGGATCATTATTTCCTTCTAAATTGTGTCTTATAATAAGGATTAAAAGGAATAATATTTAATAAATACATTAATTAGTACTATATGAGGAACAAATTTGTTTCTAATATGATAATTCGTTATATTAATTCAAATTAACGTATAATATACATGTGCGAATAACTGTTAATTTGAATAAATGTAAAGAAATATTAAATGATTTTCAAATTTTGTAAAAATTGTTTACTTGATCAATATATTAAAAACTTTTAATTCAACGGTTAGATCGTTAAAATTCAATGTAAGTCATAACTTACTCTTATTTCAATTAAAATTTATGATTAACTAAAAGAACTTTTTTAACATCATTATTCCTATGTGTATAAGTAGTTGTCACTCGGTCACTTTGTCAAGTATTGTCAATACAGATAGGTCAACATTTTCTGTTTAATTTTGGATGGTATGTTATTGATGGATCAACATTGCTTAATTTTGAAACTAGGGGACTAAATTTATAATAAAATTCTTGAGGGACTAAAATTGAATATTAACAAAAGTATATCGAGTAAAAGTAGATATTAAGTCTTAAATGTAGTAAATATAATATATTTAATAAATGTAGTATTTTTAATGTTATTTATATATAAAAAACTTCATAAATAAAAAATTAATATTATATAAGGAATTTTTTAAAAATATTATATCATTATTAACAAATTCAATAAATAATATAACATAGGGTAAAATCTGTTTATTTTATTCATATATTTATAAAATATTGTATTAATAATGTTAAACATTATATTTAATAAATACAACAAATATTATTATTTAAGGAAGAAATATACTCATATATTTAGAAGAAAAAACGATTAATAACATTAAACATTATACCATTTTTTTCTCTAATATATATATTTTTTAAAATATAATATTTTATGTTGTTGATATTATTAAAGACGATTAATAACATTAAACATTATACCATTTTTTTCTCTAATATATTTTTTAAAAAAAATATAATATTTTATGTTATTGATATTATTAAAGTTAGTTATTTACTTCCTTTGATTCTTATTATAAGACATTTTTAATCAAATCACACACGCTAATATAAGTAGTTATATTAGTTAGTTTTATTGAGTTTATAAAACAAATCATGATATGAAAATTTTATAATGCTTACTTATCATTCAACTAGTATTTTAACATGTATAATGTATATGTTAAATAATTATTATATATAACTAAAATTTATAATAAATTATATATATAAATAAAAATTATGTTCAAATATATAAATTATATTTAAAATTTATATAAATAAATATTTTTAAACATATAAAATATATTTTATATTTATGATAATGTACTTGGTAAGTAGTATTTTATATGTATTTTATCTCCGTGGTTGATTGTTGATTTTCATGGGAGGGATGAAGATATTACTCCATATTGTGTATAAATTAAAATCAAGCAATTAAAATTAGTGGACCAAAATTGCTCCCACAATAAATTAGAAGATTATAAGTAATTAAGGCTTTTTATTAATTATATTTTAATATTCACGTCAAAGGTAGAGTTTGTACTTGGTAAGTAGTATTTTATATGTATTTTATCTCCGTGGTTGATTGTTGATTTTCATGGGAGGGATGAAGATATTACTCCATATTGTGTATAAATTAAAATCAAGCAATTAAAATTAGTGGACCAAAATTGCTCCCACAATAAATTAGAAGATTATAAGTAATTAAGGCTTTTTATTAATTATATTTTAATATTCACGTCAAAGGTAGAGTTTGTACTTGGTAAGTAGTATTTTATATGTATTTTATCTCCGTGGTTGATTGTTGATTTTCATGGGAGGGATGAAGATATTACTCCATATTGTGTATAAATTAAAATCAAGCAATTAAAATTAGTGGACCAAAATTGCTCCCACAATAAATTAGAAGATTATAAGTAATTAAGGCTTTTTATTAATTATATTTTAATATTCACGTCAAAGGTAGAGTTTGTACTTGGTAAGTAGTATTTTATATGTATTTTATCTCTGTGGTTGATTGTTGATTTTCATGGAAGGGATGAAGATATTACTCCATATTGTGTATAAATTAAAATCAAGCAATTAAAATTAGTGGACCAAAATTGCTCCCATAATAAATTAGAAGATTATAAGTAATTAAGACTTTTTATTAATTATATTTTAATATTCACGTCAAAGGTAGAGTTTGTACTTGGTAACTAGTATTTTATATGTATTTTATCTCCGTGGTTGATTGTTGATTTTCATGGGAGGAATGAAGATATTACTCCATATTGTGTATAAATTAAAATCAAGCAATTAAAATCAGTGGATCAAAATTGCTCTCACAATAAATTAGAAGATTATAAGTAATTAAGACTTTTTATTAATTATATTTTAATATTCACGTCAAAGGTAGAGTTTGTACTTGGTAAGTAGTATTTTATATGTATTTTATCTCTGTGGTTCTTAGACTAAGAATGCAAAACTAACAAGTTCATAACTTTATAAAAGATAGAAAACAAGTGGAAAGAGAAAACAAAGAAAAAGATAGCAATGCTAGTGCATCTAACTCCCACTAGGTTATTGTTATTTATAGAAAAGGGAAACTAACTATTGTGGCTACAATTAATCATGAAACTTAAAATTAATTAATTTTAAGTTGCTAATTTAAAATGTGATTAAAATTACAATGTTCATATTATTATATCTCATTAAAATTGAATTTAATTAGACTGTAAAACAAGTGATTAATAAAATAACAAATTTTAGAGATACTTTGAAATCAAATTTTCAAAAAAATAATTCATAATTAAATTAACCTTTTGAAATATCACTAAATATACAACAACCTTTGACGTATGGAATCAACATGTCCGCCATGTCCTGGGAAATAGTAAGCAGACTCGGTTTTGGAATGACAGGTGGATCGGTGAAACTCGTTTTTGTGATGAGTTTAGTCGCCTTTATGGAATCTCGTTAAACAAAAATGACTCGGTAGAAGAAATGTATGGGGATGGTTCAAAGTGGCGGTGGAGTTGGAGGCGCCCACTTTTTGCATGGGAAGAGGAAAAGTTGGTTGAGTTGGCTAATAGGTTGGCCTCGGTAGTTTTGACAGAGGCTCACCCAGATGAATGGCGTTGGTTAGCCGAAAGGTCAGGGAAATATTCGGTGGCATCTGCTTATAAGATTTTAGCAAAGTCAAACCTTGTTCAAGTGGACACTTTTTATGATACGATATGGGTCAAAGGTATCCCTCCTAAGGTTCAAGTTTTAGTGTGGCAGTTGGAAGCGGACAGGTTACCTACCCAGGATAACCTCCTTTTGAGAGGGGTTACTCTAGAAGGACAAAATGGTTGTGTTTTTTGCGAAGAAGGCTTGGAGTCCAGCAAGCATTTGTTCCTCTTGTGTCCAAAGGCTTATGCTGTTTGGGTCAGATTATACGCTTGGTGGGGAGTGTCAGGGGTGCTTATCAACGAACTTAGGAGTTTTTGTCATCAATATATGGGATTGGTGAGTGGCAATAAGGGTATTAAGCGAGTTTGGTCCTTTGTTTGGTTTGCAGGTATATGGCAGTTATGGAAGGCTCGAAATGAGAACATTTTTAAAGACAAACTCTTTAAGGTGGAAGAGATCGTGTTCATGGCACAGTTGAGATCGTGGGAGTGGTGTACGGCTGCTAGAATGGTGTCTTCTTCTTTTCCAGAATGGTTGATGAACCCATTGTCCTGTGCAAGTGTCCCTTAAATTTGTTTTTTCTTATTTTTGGGTCATCTTGTTTATAATTATGACTTGCACTTCTTGTGCACAATTTTCTTGGGATTAATAAATTCTTAGCTTATCAAAAAAAAAAAATATACAACAACCCATTTATTTCAAAAGGTTAAAAAGAAATATTTGGATTCTCATATAGGATGTAATATATTATACCTAGTGTAGCAAGCTATTGAATCATACTTAAATTGATAAAACATAACACATAATATAGTGAGTGTAGCAAGCTATTGAATCCAAAATACTTGTCATGTGTTAGCGGTTAACCAATCATAATACACTCTGCAATATCCCACACAAGTGACCCCACTTGAGACTCATATAGGTAATTTCATCAAGTGTATGTTACAAATCATACGCCACCCATAAAAATATGAAAACCATTAAAATATCTACAAGTGGTCAAGCTTTCTCATAATCATATAAAGCTTAACTATAAAGATTCTCCTCTTATTAATGTAGGGTTCAACATTTTTTCACAGCATAGAATGGGTTAGAAAGTTAATTTTAGTGCTAACAGAACTAACAAATTACTTGTTCTTCCTATTGAACCTTCTTCATGGGATCTCCAATTACAAATGGTTGGTTACTGTTACTAATTATTTTCAAGTGGCTTAATAAAGTCTTGTTCCCCTTGATGTCTCATAACTAATATCTTCTCTAAGGGTTTAATGTCAACGAATCAATTAAATCCATTATTGACTTCACATAATCAATAAATTTCAATCTTTTAAGTGATTGCTTTATCATTTTATTTTTTACTTTTATATTCCTAATGAATATTTGCTTAAATATTTTTCAACCATTAAGTCTCATATTCAGTCATTTTCATATCAATAAACTCTAACTCAATAACTATATTTAGTTGATATCCATGTAATTGCACTATAACAAAGTGTAATGACACAATAACTAATGAGTTGTCTCATTTGGATTCAAGACCAAATTAACCATCACTATATTTTCTAATATAATGAAAACTCCACAATGTTAAATATCATAATTTAATAATTTATGGTACCTATCTAGCATCTCATGTTATCATAAATTTTCTAATATGGAGAACATCACACTTGCATTATAACCAAATAAAAGACTTAATTATGTTTTTGATCTTTCAAATTTGGGGTATATATCTTTTTGATTCCCAAATTTAAAGCTTGTGTATTTAATCCCTAAAATATCAAAAAATATTAATTTAATATCTAAAATTAAAAAATTTCTTTCCAGTCTCTATATTTTTTTAAAAACATTATTTTAGTCTCTTAGGGCCACTAATAACATAATTAAGCAAACAGACTAAAATAATATTTTTTTGATATTTTAGGGACTAAAAACATAAATTTTTAATTTGAAGAACAAAAAAATTATATAAAGGGACTAAAATAATATTTTTTTTAAAATGGACTAAATGTAACACTGTGAATTTTGTTAGTAAATTGTCGATTTTATTAAGTTAATTATTGTTGTGATTAGTTGTTTAATTGTGTGGAACTAAGGATTTAGAAATTCTTATGAGTTTTTGTTGTTTAAGAATTATTTTAAGCTAAGGTTTAGTTGACCGGTTAGAGGATGATATATAAGATTTTTCTTAAGACGTATACTTCATAAGTTCATTTTTTTAGAAAACTAGAGAGAAGTTAAAGAGAGGGGCTTTGGGGCCATAATTCTCTCTTCTTCTTTTGAGTCTACTAGAGAGTGCTAGGATCCTTTCATTGAGATATTTGAGTAGTTGTGTAGAGATTCAAGTCTCTAGAGCTAAGAATCAAAGACCCTAAAGTGGTAGTGTGAAATTTCCTGGATGATCTCATTCTTCTCCCTCTTCCTCTATTTTAGGTGATCGAAGGTAAGGGAAGTTATTAGATTTTTGTTGTTGAAACCTTGTTTGAATTGTGAACTTTTGTGGTTGTCTTGGTTGATTTTGATATTGAAATTAATTAAGTTGAGTTTTTAGATGGTTTTTTGGAGAAGTTGAGAATATGTGATGATTTGAACTAATGGTGGGATGTATATAGGAATTTATGTTGTTTATGAGTTGATTATGTTGTATGGTTATGTTTTCTGGTGCTACATGTTGCTTTAGACTGTTTTTTAGGTAAGGAGAGCTAAAAATATAATTTTGTCAAGTGCATATATTACCATTACGTTGAGAGCAACTTCATGACGTCAACCATGGTGTAGGCCAAAGGCTCTCTACTTCCTTGACATAGGCACGAGATTGATAGTGCCAAGCATGAGTTAGTTGGGAGTTCTTTGACTTGGTCACGCTAGGCATGGGTTGAGGAGTGCCAAATGTGATTTCCTTTGGAGCACTTTGACTTGGTGACGCCAAGCCCCAGTTTAAGTGGTGCCAAGCATGATCATAGTAGTAACTCTCTATCTAGATGACACCAAACACATATTTTATTGCATTAGAAGTGAGTCAAGCAGAGGCTCCCTACCTAAATGAGGTCGAGCTTATGTCTAGCTATGTTAGGCGTGATTGACACATGGGCTTGTTAGAATATAATAATTAAGTGGCTCATAATTGGAATTGAAATAATCGTTATAAGTTTCAAATTTTTTTGCATTATTGGCTTTTAATGGAGGAGCCAGATTAAAGGGAAGTTACATTTTTAAGTTTATGAAGGAGCCCTGCCCTTGCCTATCTAAAGCCTGTGATGCTCCATTGGAGCCATAATTCTCCCTTCTTCTTTTGAGTCTACTAGAGAGTGCTAGGATCCTTTCATTGAGAGATTTGAGTAGTTATGTAGAGATTCAAGTCTCTAGAGCTAAGAATCAAAGACCCCGGAGTGGTAGTGTGAAATTTCCTGGATAATCTCATTCTTCTCCCTCTTCCACTATTTTAGGTGATCGAAGGTAAGGGAAGTTATTATATTTTTGTTGTTGAAACCTTGTTTGAATTACGAACTTTTGTGGTTGTCTTGGTTGATTTTGATATTGAAATTAATTAAGTTGAGTTTTTAGATGGTTTTTGGAGAAGTTGAGAATATGTGATGATTTGAACTAATGGTGGGTTGCATATAGGAATTTATGTTATTTATGAGTTGATTATGTTGTATGGTTATGTTTTCTGGTGCTACATGTTTCTTTAGACTATTTTTTAGGTAAGGAGAGCTAAAAATATAATTCTGTCAAGTGCATATATTACCATTACGTTGAGAGCAACTTCATGATGTCAACCGTGGGGTAGGCCAAAGGCTCTTTACTTCGTTGACATAGGCACGAGATTGATAGTGCCAAGCATGAGTTAGAGGGGAATTCTTTGACTTGGTCACGCTAGGCATGGGTTGAGGAGCGCCAAATGTGATTTCCTTTGGAGCACTCTGACTTGGTGACGCCAAGCCCCAGTTTAAGTGGTGCCAAGCATGATCATAGTAGTAACTCTCTACCTAGATGACACCAAACACATATTTTATTGCATTGGAAGTGAGCAATTAGAGGCTTCCTACCTAAATGAGGTCGAGTTTACATCTAGCTATGTTAGGCTTGATTGACACATGGGCTTATTAGATTATAACAATTAAGTGGCTCATAATTGGAATTGAAATAACCGTTATAAGTTTCAAATTTTTGTATTATTGGCTTTTAATGGAGGAGTCAGATTAAAAGACAACTACATTTTTAAGTTTATGAAGGGGTCCCTGACCTTGCCTATCTAAAGTCTGTGATGCTCGATTGATTCACACATATTCAGAAAAGGTTAAGGCTAGAAGACTTCTCTATACTCTCTAAATTTTCTTCTCTATATTCTCTAAATTTTCTTTCTCTAATATTTGTGTAGTTTCTTTGTAATAAATAATAATAATGGTTGTGACACCCTTACTACCCCAACAAATACATCATAATAATGTAATTAAATTAAGAAAAATAAACTTTAAAAGTTGGTAAAAGGGTTCACATAAACTTCATAATTGTTCTTTCTTCAATATCCAAAATAACTGAAAATAAAACTTGGAAGGTAAAATTTAAGAGTTTACAAATTATTTTCAAAATACAAGGTATAACTCAAAATACATATAAAAATCTATATCCTAGAATTTTCTGCCCCGATGTCACAATATCAAAGCACACCCACAATTCAACTGTTGGCATCCTTGATGCCACTCAAAGCCGGATCTTCCTCACCTAAAACATCCACAAATTGTACGGTGAAAAAAAGAAAGCATCTATATATATAAAGTACATAAGAAAAACGCAACATATCGTCCCATTATACTTAATAAAATATTCATAAACATTTCAACATATCATAACTCGATCAATCATACATCATCATCATGTCATAATTCGCAATCACACCAATCATCACAAATCTTGCCCTTCACACTATGCCAAGGTCACGTTACCCATTTAACAATCCAAGGTCGTGCTCACCCCTGATATAACATTGTGCCAAGGTCACGATTCCCCTGTAGCATATCTAGCCCAGGGTCGTGCTCACCCCCGACATGTTAACCAAGGTCACGATACCCACGTAATAATTCAAGGCCGTGCTCACCCCTGATATAACACTGTGCCAAGGTCACGTTACCCCTAACCTAGGGTCGTGCTCACCCCTGACATGTTAACCAAGGTCACGATACCCATGTAACAATCCCGGGTCGTGCTCACCCCTGGTCATAGGTGTGAAGAACCACAATCACATCTCATTCACATTCCACACAACATCTCATAGTTCAATTCCATACACACATCAGATAAGTCCAAAATAATGGGTTTCATACACCTCAAGCAATTCACATTTAAATCATCAATTTTTATCAATTAATATAATAATTAATGGAATTACATATTTAATATAATCTTAACATAAATAGTAAAACCCCCAATGGTTCTAAAACTTAACTCACAGACACTTTTCTACAATTTTGTTTTCTCTCCCAGATTATCATTCTTACAAATTAAATATATATTTCTAGTCCTCAACACATACAGAATCTAATGGAATCATTAATTCCTCAAACAGAAAT